ACAAGAGATATGCATAAGCCATGCCAGGCATTGCTCTGCAAAAGCCCGCTGGCAAAATCTGTATGTATTCCGGCATCGGCTATCACTCAATGCTCAGGTACCAGATCCCTGAGGCAGTGGTTTCCGTTAGGGTGCAGAGGTCATGTTCGTGATCATCGGCCATGCTTTCCTCTCACATCTCGGCATGCATCGCTGAGTATTCCCTAGTGCCAGCGGAGGTCCCAGGAGGATGAACCTGGAGTTTGAGCCCATGTCCACCTTGAGACAGCTTGACATGTGTCATGCCCGTTAGCTTGCCAGCGCTATCGTCCACAGCGTCATCTAGAGATTGCCAAGGCAGAGCTGGATTTGAAATTGCAAGGCCACCATAGTGCTGAACGCAATCCAGCTCCAACCTTGCAAACTGCAAGTAATCGTGCAGGTATTCTGTAGTAGGCACTGCACCGCGGGGGCCGTTGTCACCGGCATCAAGCTCACAAGCCTCGTCCAAGTGCGAAGGCTCCACATTGGTACCGATTGCGACGGCACTGCCGCATTCCATATTGCCACATCCAAGGGTGATGGACACGAGGCCACCCAAGATGCAAGTGCAGAGACCACCCACATCGTAATTCCTCATGATGGCACAGCGCAGCAAAAGACCATGATGCCGCAGGCGGCAACGCCCAGGGCGGTCATGGCCACTTGCGTTACCAAAGCTTCTGTGGTCCCGTCGCGTGTGCCAAGAGTGGAGCCAGGTTCGAAGCCATACCATCCGAACCAGAGTGCAAAGGTGCCTATCACCACCAAGGGCAAATGCCAAAACGACGGTGCCTGCCAGAGGACTCACTCCGCCCGTCAAATGCACACGGCGCTGCCCGCAAAGTCCACGTAGCAAGCACTTGAACTGTAATGCGAATCAAAGTCCACGTAGCGCACACCCAGCACTGACTCCAACCAGCCGTAGCACCAGGTCCAGATGTCCACCGGAAAGGTCAGGCCGGTCATGCAGAAGGCGTAAAGCGCATACGAGGGGCTCTTCACACCGGGCAGGCAACACTGACGATGGTTCATGGCGACCCTAGCGGGCCTGGGGCCTCGACTATCCTCGCTGATGAGGTCTTTCGGGCCCTACATACATACATACATACATACATTTTGACTTTGACGACGCAGCATCCGTAGACACTAAGCGAAAAGTGGCAGGCTGATGCCCGGCGACCGTAGCCACAATGCTTGGCATTCCACGTTCAACTCACAAATTATAAAGGAAGCATGGCCTCTCTTGGGCCTTCCTGCATAACCTCTTCGATTAGAAGATACGGATCTGTCTCAGCATCGCCCGCCCAGAACTGAAAGCCCCTGCGAGAAAGCAGATCAGCATCTGCAGTGGACATTCGCCAGCCATCTCTAATATGATATGCCAGCAAAACAGTTCTATCACCAATCCAATCTTCAGTAGCATGAGGCAGGCGAGAGTTGAAAAGAAGATACGGCCATTCCACAGGGTGCAAGCTTCCTCGAATGCTGGGTGTCCCCTATCCAAACCTCGCCCTGTTGAAACTCCGAGACCGGGATGACCAAACTGGGAACTCTCGGATGATTGTTCAGATCCTTGTGCACATTCGTTTTGACGTTGTGGCTAAGCACAATAGAGCTGAACCTGTGCCCTGGGCAGTGCATTGAAACCACAGCAGCCAGTAGCATCGACAGCCAGGGATATTGATGCATGTTCGTCATAACCCCAGCAGAGCCACCAAAAACCCAAGCGCCAGTCTGAAAAGAAAGCCGATCCGAACGTTGATCATCACTGTCCCGTAGGCGTTTATTGGTCAAACGGCAGGTAAGCAAAAGGTTCACAAGCCCGGCAAAATCATCGTAGGAAATCGTGCCCTTACACAAACAATCCTTAGAAAGCTGTTCCACTGCTGAAGAAGGAGGCTGCAGGTCTGCCAAGGCCTCCACACTCAGCACCACAGGAAAACAGCGTGGCTGCAAATCGCAGGACAGGCCCACCTGTCCTCAGTACCTAGGTGAGGCACCCATGGCATACTCAGTCCAGTTGGAGATGGTCTCATCATAATCAGGAAGACCACTGGTATCACGAATGGACCCCGTACACCTGGTGCCCTCGCTGCTGGCCCCGCGGCGAACCGCCATGCAGGCCAACAGCCCGACAGCCCCCGAGCTGCAAGCAAAAATGTACTCTGAAGAAGGATGCTGCAACCATGCCAAGGCCGAGGCCAAAAACTCCACAACACTGACAGAAAAACTCAAGCGGAGATTATCCCCGTCACCCAAGCTGCAGTATTGTGACGTGCCCCGCGCATAATACGCAAAGCGAGCACGCTGGCCACATATGGGCATGGAACATGGTCTAATTGGAGACGCTCAGCTTCAGCAAACCGACCAGATACACATTATGTTGAATTTCTTGTAGGTCTGTTGCACTGGCTCGTTGGGGGGGGCGGTTATCATCACATACCAGAAACTTCCACTGAGACGTCCCGGTCAGGCTCGGCGGTGTGCTCAGCGCAGCCTTGTAATGTCCTGACGTCAGCGTGTTCCCAAGGTGGTAAATGACAAAAAGGACACGAAAAGGCTGCATGCTGCATTGCATCGTGCCCTCCTCATGGTCAAAGAAAGGTACAGCCACAGTTTGACCTGGTTGAACACTGATCGTTCTCGTATCTTTCAAAACACTAGTGCCTGCCTCTCTGTACCGCCCAAGCTGCATAAGCAGAAGACCTCCAGAGCGCCACAGAGCATGAATGGCTGCTTGTCGCTCCCAGGAGTCCCAGCAGCTCTGAAGTGAGTCCCCAGCCAAAGGTACAAGAACAGGCTGAAAAGTGGAACCTCGGTCAAGGACATGAACAACAGCACGCCGTAGCTCCCGAGACTGCCATTCTCCGTCCCAGGCCACCGGCACAGCCCGAGCAACTAGATAGGCAAAGAACTCAGCAGCATCGTGCTGAATCGTGACCTCCGCCCAATCTCGAAGCAGGTTGCGCCAGGATAGGGTGCGATGCAAGAGCTGTGGCTTAGAGCTGCGCAAAAGTCGAAGACATCCAGAGGCGGTGCCATACGCCTGCGAGGGATTTGGACCACATATGCCACTCCAATATATGCAGTGCGCCGCAGCATTCATGTAGCAAACATTCGAGGTGTTAGACAGAACTGCAGTGGGCAAGCAAGCATAAGCGTCCTCAGTACAAAGCCACACACGTGGAGTCGGTGCCCGCCTGGGAGGCTCCTCAATCACAGATCCTTGTCCTCCTCGCTCCCACGAGCTGCTTGAGGCTTCCGGGTGGGCTCCTCCCTCTTCCTCCAGTCGCATATGCTGGAGTTCTGGAAGGTGGTAGTCAACACCTTCGCTAGCGGCTGCCTGTCCAGGCGTTCCTTGCGGTGGCGAAGCCCAATCATTCGTAGCGCCGAGCACCCTATCAGGTCCGACCACGCATCGTAGGCCAGGTCCGCGGCGGTGGAGCGAATCCCCAAGCTCATCAGAAAGGGAAGCACTGGGGACTGATAGGTGTCGGACATGGGCCTGGTCGAGTGAAAGCGCAGCAAGACGTTTTCCTGCGGAAACGCCCGGCGTAGCCGATCCACATGGTCCAGAAGCTTGGAGTGCTTCATGGGAGTCTCCCCCGACTCCAGTTGGGTCCGGGTTTCCGGATCCCACTTCATGAAAGTCCAGACCGGGTCCAGGGCCACCTCGCCGTCCTTCAGCCAGCCATGCTTGATGACCGCTGCCCGAACCGTCTCGTCCACCAGCACATTCTGTAGCCTCGTCTGAAGCTCCTGGAGCGCGCAGAGCAGCAGGACCACTCGGAGGGATGTCGTTACTTTTCCCTCCTCCTTCTTGGCCTTCCAGTTCTGGGAGGCTTCCAGGAGCATCGGCAAAATGCCGTGTGCTCCTGTGTCGAAATATAGGATAAACCCGCTTTCCGCTCGAAGCCTCGCGCTGTCGTCCTCCAGCTTGAGAACCACTTTGGCCAGCAGCTTGACAAGCTCCGTGACCTCCTCCGCGGTTTCCGAGGACTGTTGGTCCTTGGCTTTGGACCAGTCCCCCCGACCCCCAGCTCCGGTTCCACTGGCCCTTTCCCTGGCCCCCTTTCTCCCTCTGCTTGGAGAACTTCGCCGGCTGCTCGGTATCCTTGTCCTCTTCTCGGCGTCCCTGCTTGGAATGCCCTGCGGAGGCCGGAAAGATGTCCAGCATCTCCTGCTGAGCCACTGAAGCCACGTCCTCCATCGCCATGTTCCTTGGCAACGGCAAGTGAGAGCACCGAAGCGTGAAAGACCGGTCCACAGTGTTTAAGATGAGCTCCCGGCTGCTTCACAACAGCTCCGCAGTACTTGCAGGGGCTCTGGGCTACCAAACCAGCCTTGGAGGTGCGATCTTCTGCCTCCTTTTTGAGCAACCACAGATCAGGATGAGTAGAGCGCATATGTGTTTTGATGCCCGAGCCAACATCTGAGACCCACTGCCCACACTGTATGCACCAATTTTGGAGCGAAGCGCAAACACTGCGATCTCGAAGCAGCTCCCTCCACGAGTGGTTCAGGACAAACTGCACTATGTCAGGTCTCTTCATCATGGGCACCACTTCAGACTCCCGGCATGACTGCCCTAGCGAAGTCTGTGTGGGGCCCTGCGCAGATGCAGAAGCCGTGGCTTGCGACATTCCTTTAAGAACCGGGCATGCATTGAGAATGTGCTTCTTAAACACGACAAAAGTAGGAAAGGTACGATTACAATGCTTGCAAGTCGGCATCCCATCCACTGCATGCTCGGAAACATCAACATCTCGACGGGCTGAGGCATCCTCCTGCTGAGCATTAACCAAACTGATCTTATGTTCCTTGGCGTGGTGAATGCGCATTGATCGGATGTCTGGAAAATATATGCCACAGGTGGGACAGGAGATAGCTTGGGCTGTGCTCACAGGTACAATGACTGATGCCGTGCTCGTTGGAGGCGACTCAGCTGTAGGAGCCCCATCTGTGCTGTCTAAAAAGGCGAGCTGCGAGCTAAACCACCGATGAGCCTCTGGATCCTGTGTTACCTGCGCCCTACGCTCCAGAAGATGACGTATATACGACGTTGGCCTGGAAACCCCCAACCTGGCATACAGTTCCGAGGTGCTCTCTCGTGTGATATGCGCCGGTGATTTGGCAATCGCCCGAACATGCCGTACTTCAAACACACCAAGTCGATAAAGAACATCTGTCGTAAGACCCACTGCATGTAGTCCATACGTAGCAGAAGTTCGAATGCATGTGAGGTACAATCGCAGCCGATGCCGAACAGAAAGGACTCTGGAGGAATGTAGGATCTTCTGTAGGCGTTGACGATTCATAGCCGCCACCTTTAACCTATGAGCCAAGGTTTGTTTTTCAAACGACCCATAAGACACTACCACCCCTAGATACGTCATCTGTTGCACCTTGGGGATAAGTAGCGGCTTGCCAGGCAATCCGAGATCCAGGACCTCCCGTCCCTGTACACGGCGCAAATGTTTGCGCACCCACTGACGACCAGCATGTCCCCGCAGACCAATGACGATGGCTGATTTGTCAGGATTCACTCGCATACCTAGTTCCTCAAGAAGGGAGAACACTTGAAGGACGCACCTGTGCATAAACTGGAGATCAGCTACCGAGCGCACTTCCCAGGACAGGTGCGAGTCGTCTGCGAAAAGTGTGATGAATTGCGCAGCCCATGACTCCGGAACCCGTTGACATAGAAGATGATAGAAATATGAGCTGAGCGCAGCAAAGAGGAGTGGAGCTACCGTGCAACCCTGGCGTACTCCTCTACGCATCGGAATCTGAGTGGTGTAGCCCTGGTGCTCAATCTTATACAGACTTTGCTCGTGAAGATGTAGTAGAGCCTGCACAAGTGGCTGCTCTGCTCCAGCATGTATAAGTGCGGATTCCAAAACCGGGCGCGGGAGAAGGTCGAAAGCTTGAGAAAGATCAACGCTTAGTTGAACTCCTCCTGCGCAGGCTGCTGCGGCAACTCCTTTGCGCTTGTCATACACTGTACGATTGCCCTGGCGCAAAACATCTCGAATCTGCTTGCAGTGACGAGCAACCCTGGAAACTGCCTCATCAATAGCCTTGCCTTCAACATATGCAAATTGCGGAGTCTGCCACAACGTCTGCAAACCATAGGATGCAGGCGATCTTTGAGAACTTTAGCTATGGACTTACCTCCCGGGTCCTGAAGTCCTAAAGGCCTGAGGTCCTTAGGGCGCTTATTAACCTTACCAGGCTTGGGAATCATGAGGAGTTCGCAATCCGCCCACTCGCCCGGCACCCAAAGGTCGCATTGCCCCCAGTGCGAATTTGCAACTCGGCAGAGCCGCTCAGCTAAAGATCCAGCACACGCCTTCCAGATGGTAGTGGGAAAGCTGGAGCGAGGAACCCCTTTCCTGGCCTGCAGCTGAGTGATGGCCAGCTTCACCTCATTCACCTCAAGCTGAAGAGGTTCAGAGAGTGCTCGGCGCTGTTTGGGCGCACCTTGGCCAAAGACCTGCCGACAGTGTCCTGCAATCTCCCGGAACTCCTCTTTGACAGTCATAAGGGCACCTGTTTCCGAACGAATCTGAACTTTCTCCCGTTTGGCTTTGGCCATCTGACGGATGACGCGGTAGAGCTTGCCTTGAGAGAAAGAGTTGGCAGCTTGCTGCGCCTGGGAGAGCTGATCCAAAAGCACTTGTCGCCGACGCTGCTTCCCCTCTCTCCTAAACTGTTTGACCTGCCTGTCAAAGGCAACCGCATACCGCCAAGCATGAAGACAAGCCTGAGCACTCGGATCCCGACCTCGGCCAAAAACTTTGAGGGCCCGATGTAGCTCCCACATGCGTGACAAGGAAGTGATCACTCCTGGAGCCATCCATGGTCGGGGCGCCCGTGGTGCCGGCTAGTCACAGTCGCCGGCTTTGAATTCCACGACCACTGATAGATTGCCAGCACGTCTGTGTTGAAATGCTCCCCTAATATCCTGACATGGAAGACTCGCCCCGGTACCCAAGTGCAGAAGCGCAACGCCTCTCCTTTGCAAATAGTGGCCCGTACAAAGACAGCCACCCCTGCAAATCGAGCAGCTGGGTCCGGCGATATCATTGCATGCCAGCCTCCACTTGTCCACGAGGACTCGTCACGCCCGAGGCCCCAATGGACCTCAGTCAAAACAATGACATCCGCCTCATTTTGTCGTACCAGCCAATTCATGAAGACGTCGTACGAAGAGGTGCAGAGCCCCCCTATGTTGTACGTGAGTACCTTCAATCTAGCAGCTGGTCTCGCTGTGCGGCGTGTCGCTTCCAGTCGACTGTCCCTTGGAGGCGCCGAAGGGGCGGCATCGCCCATTGCCGATTGAACAGCCCTGCCTTCCAACCAGCGGCCTCTGTACCATGACCTCCTTGAGGACTTGAAAGAGCTCGACGTCTTGCTCTGAGGAAAGATCTCTTGGCAACCTTGCCTGGCTTAGGCCTCGAAGCGGCCGCGCTTCCATTAAAAATAGACCCATGTTGCTTCGCCTCCGAAGAGACTCCCAGCCCGCCCATGGTCAGCGAGCCAACCCTCAGCTCTGTGTGGCTCCCTGTACAACGCTGCGATTCTCGTTCGCTGCCACACTCCGGGAATTGGGACCCGGACAGCTCGGCGTTTATGTTGCTTGAGAGTTGCGTCGTCAAGTCAGAAGCCCCCAGCATAGTAAAGCTGCAGCAGTATGCAATAAGCACAATTTCAAGCACAGCAATTCCCATTGCACGCCGGGGGAGAGTTCCTACCCTCAAAAGTCCGAGCCGAGAGCCTTATACATACATACATACATACATACATACATACATACATACACACATACACACACATACACACACACACACACACGTACATACACACGTACATACAACGTACATAGCACGTACGTAAGTACGCACATACATACATACATACATACATACATACATACATAATTACATGCGTACATACATACATACATACATACATACATGCATGCATGCATGCATGCATTATGTATATGTATGCCATGTATGTGCATACACATACTTTTAGAACGGTTCTCAGGCACTCCAACATGTGTTTGCAACTTCTGAATGCCCAGCGGACGGGCAAGAAACACATTCACATGGATGTCCCTTTGTCAATTTGTTGCTCTCCAATTGGCACTCGCTCTCTTTTGTTCCATTGCTGACTCTTCGTGCAAGTGGCTGGCTAGGTGGAAAGACACGTAGAACAAGACCTTGGCGCGGAAGTAGTAGAGTAGCGAGAGAATGGCTGCCTTCAAAGCGCTGCTTCAGACTCGTGGCTCGTAAGGTGGAGTCGCAGGCTGCGATTGAGCTGATCTCCCTTCGGGCTGACGTTGAAGTGGACCGCGGACTCATCTCAGCTCGACTTAATCTGCTAGGTGCTTCATCAGAACGGCCCAAGACTTCCGGTTCAATGCCTTTGGGATACTGGCTTTGTTCAACTTTTTTCGGAGCGGCAGGCCGGCAAACAGTCCAGCAAACAATTCAACATAATTCCATGAAGCAGAGCAAGTTTGGTAGCACAGGCGCCACCAACGCTCGACTGGTTGCAAGAATTCATGTAATCTGGAATCGTCGATTGGGGGAGCTCGTCGAGCCAAGTTCAGGGGAGCAGCGTTTGCATGGTCCTGGGGAAGGGCCGACAGGTTGTGGTGCACTGGGCAAGCTGGCAAGGCTTTTGCAGTTTAGTTCCCGAAAGTCAGTTTGGCAGGGGAGTCCTGTGTGTGTGTGTGTGTGTGTGCGTGTGTGTGTGTGTGTGCTTGTGCAGATTTTCAGAAGCAAGTGATTTTGCGGCCTGGGACCCCAAATTGGATCAAGACGTCAAGCTACGTCAAGCTTCGCAAAGAAGCTCACAGCATTTGCTAGAGGCTTCAAGCTGCAGCCTTTTAGCTGCAGGGCTCCATCGTCCCCGCTTGTCGCAATTTTCGAGAGCTTGAGAAGTGGGGCCCAATGCAGCTGACCAGGACTTGCTTGATCATTCTGGCACTGGGGCGATTCTTTCGCGATCCAAGGCTCGTTTTGTTGCAGATGTAAGCTGTCTAGATCTCAGTCTCCCCTCCTGACAGGGCGACCCACAGAATCCACTGTTGGCGCCTCCTACTCAAAATAGATGCACAAGTACATGTGTCAGAGGCAAGACGCAGAATGCGCACGCCTGATGTGGAGTGCTTGCGAGCACGACTCAGGACGTACCGCATGCAGGAAGAAGGCCCCACAGAGCTGCTTCTGCCAGATGTAGCAAAACCGGCCAAGGGAGATTGTAGGACCCCATAAGCAGACCAGGCACCCGCTTCCAGATACGCCTGCGGACCATTGAAGGTCTGAGTGGTGCACCCTCGTTGCTTGAGGGAATCTCCATGCAGAGAAATCCTTGGCTCCTTGCTAACTTATCCGACGTGTGCCGCTTGGGTAAAGCCGCGAAAGCCAGGAACACTCTCGGCCTTCGTGGCCCTCTCCCTACGCACTCAGACTCCTTGACACTCGTGTATGTCTTTCTGGCTCTTTGGAGCGGACACTGAGGTTCCTGCCACGCAGCCCAAAACAGCCACGCCCTTGGCAGTTTTGAGGGCTCGGCGCCGTACAAAACACTTACACCGGCTTTGCCGGCTTGAGCTGGCAAACCCAATCCACAGGCCACCACAAGCCATGTTGCTCCCCAGCACAAGGCACATCTCATCAGCGTGTCCATCAAGCCTTTGGCTTTGCACGAGAAGGCTGCGGTTTGCCGGTTTACCATGGTGCCGGGTCATGGATGCATGCTCTGGTGTAGGCATGCGCTGAGAGTACATGGTAAGCATTCCCGACATCTAAAGATTCGGATAGAATTGGAAGGAGGGTACGGTATGCCGAGCGCACCTGCCTAGACTAGACTAGAGGGGAGAAGACCAAGACTCGGACCATGCATATCTGAACAGAGAAGCAGAAAATCCAGAACAAAACACACATAAAGCAACGTATGTGCACTGCAGATTGCCGAAGCTTCTGCGGACATTCCGATGAGCGCCAGGCTTAGCACTTGTGAGCAGAAGATTAGGTTTCAGTTCTCTTGCCTGCAAAAATCTTCCTAAGACGAGCTGCGCCTCACTGGGCCTTTTTCCGTGACGGACATGCACTCATGGCTCGCTCTTTGCCGGAAACTAAGTGGTTTCAACCACTTGTTTACGACATCTGAGAAATTGCTGCTGCTGCTGCTGCTGCTGCTGCAGCTGCTGCATGATACAGCATGGCCAGGATTTCAGTTGAACAAGCTGTCCCCTGAACCAGGTGTTAATGAGCTTCCGTCGCGACCAACAGATGATGAAATGGTGATCAGCTACAGGACTGCAGCACTTTTGTGCGTCCGGCACCCGAAACATACAACAGTGACATGTGCAGGAGCACCTTTGTTGGCACTCAGCTCTATGGGAGGCAGCTTCACCGACAGCCGCATGGTTCCTGACTTTGCATGATGGATTTGTCATGCACCCCAGGTATTCCAAGGGCACAGCAATCTTCAGGCTGGCATTCGTACGACACCACGCCAACGGCCCGGCTTGAATGCGGATTTGCCAAGATCGGATTCTATCACCACCATCGGAGTCTTGAAGGACCAGAATGTCGTCGTGTTACCCACAATGCTGTGATCGGCAACAGCAGCGTTGCCATCATGGAGGGCACGATTATGTGATTGCTGCAGGATATCATTACGAAGGAGGCCACAGCAAAGAAGGTTCAGGCAAGTGGTTTACCCGCACTTGCGAGATGTCGGTGCTTGGGTGATGTTTGTTGTTCTGAGTTGGACATACCCCTCCGAACCCCTTGTCTGCTTTGCTTCCGTCGAATATTCTCGTCGTGACAGCGCTGCAGCTGCGTGCGGGAAGAGGTTTCGAGTGCTCATAACAGTGCGAACAGTTTCGTAGCTGCAGGTCTCAATGAATGTGGACGTGAAGGAGGAAACGTTTAGCCGATTCTTGGAACTGCCCAGACCTCGACTTCACCGAACTTTGTCGTCCAATGAACATGAATCGCTTGTTGCCGTGGTCATGCGCTGCGTGTTTGTTCTGTGGAGCTCAGGGTGCACCCGAAGTTGAATTATCAGCACGATGGGCTCTGAGCATGACCAGCGTCACGATAGGATGTTTGAAGCTCCTGAATGGAGCCCATCGCCGAGCAAAGCCATGGGGTTGTAATAGCTCGTCAGTCGTTGCAGCAGTAAGGCCTTGACGCAACAAGTGCGCATGGCTTGCTTCTCAGCCTTCTGAAGTTAGACAACCCTGTAGCCAAACGCTGTGGGAGATTCTAAGGTCGAGCCGCTGCGAGAGGCGCAGAAGTCTGTCGAGTACAAGAAGCTCTTTCGATCTGTAACTTTGTAACGTTGCAAATTGAAGTCTCTCGCCCTTTCAGCAATGCCTGTTGGGGCAGACTGCACCAGCATGCTCATTCAATTTCACCAGTGGTTCGGAAGGTAAGTCGCGAGAGCAGGGTAGATCGAAACTTTTAATTCGTTGACCAAAATGCTTGCTAGCTGCTAGCTTCACTACTTTGCTGTGCTTTGCTGTGCTCGCTTGGGTGCGTGCTGCCGTAGCAAGCAGGCACGAGGGTCATTCAAGATCAACTCTGGCCCTATGCGGAACTGCAGACGAGGGGCGGGATGAGTAATTTATGGTGAACAATCCTTTGATCCGGGGGGTTTCGTTTTACCAACCAGGTCTTCACACGACCACAACAGGCGACACGCGGTCATCAGCAGCACGGCATCACAGAATGGCAACTCGAATGGAGTTAGGCTGTTCTTGGAACCGCCCCTGATCAACTGCAGTAGTTTTTTTGTACCAGTCCGTGAGTTCTCAACATCATCCAGAAACCACGCAGCCATCACTCATCCAGTCATCCATCACAGACTCCAGGATTACAGTTGTACGTCAGATGAAGAAACGTGGGACAACCTTGCCGAACCATCCAGTCAGAAGACATGCTGCTCCTGCAAGGTGTAGGTTCTTACGTTCAGGCGCGAAGATGCACTACTTCATATTTAATATGAGCGCTCCTCAAAATGGTGCAACGGCAGCGCAGCGATTATAACTTATAACCGCAGCTGAGCTTGCTTCGGACATGGCAGAAAGCTCTGGCCAGAAAATACCAGAACGATTTAGCGAAGCTATTGGATCTCGTGTCAAGTTTTACCAGCAGCTTCCTTTGCAGATGGCAGGTGCAGCTCCAGGAGGGCGAAACCAAGTTCCTTCATCCAGAATTGCTTGGCCCCTACTAAGTGGTAAAACCGCCTTGCAAAAGCTATTTGTGGAGAGCGGTCCTGTGAAAAGCAGAGGCAGTCGGTGCTGGAGCAGGCAGCTGAAATCCAGCAACAGCCGGCGCCTCAGACAGGGGACTTTCTACATGCAGCATCGTGTGCGGCGCAAATGCAGGGCCGGGCTGGTTGCTGTTCGGCGGCGCAGGTTCCAGCTTCAGCCGCAAAAGCTGGCCTTCCTACATAGCATCGTCATATCTGCAGAAGCCCTACTCTCTGCACTTCACTCTGCCGTAGCTCTGTTCGTGAACCCTCCAAGGCTTACAGGCATAAATGGCGACTTCGTGGCTACCAAAGCGTGGAGCACAGGATCAAGGACTCGTGAATAGTTCAGCTCCAGAGTTGCTCGGCCACCTTGGGATTTCTGTAGGACTTGCAACGACTCTTGGAGGCATGCGCCACTTTGCGTCGTCACAGTCCATCCGTACGATACGGTCGCTCAGTGCAAGAATGAGAGCATGACAACATAACTAACACTTGCAAATAATTGGGTTGTTAGGGCACATGCGATGCCGTACGTTTGCACGGACCAGCTGCCAGTCCTACAACTTGGAAGTGGTCTCTGCCTTCTTCAGCGAGTCCATCGACTGAGTGAGTGCAAGATTCCATACGTTGAGCAGAACGACACGACATCCGCGAGCGCCAGCAATGCCGATGGCACATAAGAATATCGTGTGAGTCCTGTTTCTGCACCAGTCGAGTCTCAAGATGGCATCGTCGAGCCCTTTCCTGCAGCTCTCCTGGCTTCGTGTCTTTGTACATTGCAACAGTGCCCGACCGGTTGAAACAAATGACCAGTCGCGTGCGAGTGGCGAAGCCGAAGAAGCGCACAAGACAAGAAGTCGAAAGCACCGCGAAGCACTTCCACATTGCATGCATAGATTCGAGTAGCTTTGCATGATCGTACCGCATGAGTTTGCTTGTGCAGAGTCCCGGTTTTGTAGCTGTTTCCAGTCAGAGGATTCAAGTTAGAGTGCTTCCGAGCAGTCTGAACGAAACCATGACCCGCGAAGACACCTCTCCGAGCTAGATAGCACAGCAGCACGAGACGAGTGACACAAGTCGATGCGTTGAGAATGGCTTCCCCGGTTCGTCAAAGAAATGTCGTACTGCCAGAACACTTCGGGGGTGCTCTGACCAGCAGCCGCAGCCCGAGGAGACGACGGCCATCGTCCATCTCCCTGTCTCGGAGGGATGCAAGTGAGGGCGACGACTCTCAGACTTCATCCCCACGTACGACGAGCGATGCCGTGCTCCTGAGATGCAGGGATACGATCGAACGACTTCACAGTGATGTGGAGGAAGAGCGCCAGAAGCGCACAAGGTTGCAGGATCAGGTTGTTGCTTGTGAAAATGAGCTGGCCGCCGCCAAAGTGGATTTGGCCGAAGAGCAGGTGCGCTGCCGTGATGCCGAGTCCCGCTGCACGAGGCTTGAGCGCCAGCTTGCCGACACGGAACAGCGTTTAAAATCTCAAAAGGATGCTTTTGAGGATGCGCACTCCCAAGTGCAGCAATTAAAAGCAGAATCCCTCCAGAAAGCCCAAGAGCACTTTGCGCAGAGTTTGAAATTGACTGAGCTCGAGAGCGCGACGAAGCGCGCTGAGGCTCGGGCTGCAAGAGCTCAGGAGGAAACTGCCAGACTCAACGGTGAGTTAAAGCAGGTGCAGTCCAAAGCACAGGAACTGGAAAGCGAAGTTGCACGTCTGCAGGAAGCCTTGGAAGGCAAAGCACATGAGACCGCCCGAGTTCTACACATCGGGCAGGAGCACGAGGATCGCTGCGAAGCTCTTCAGCGGGAGCTGGAAGACCTACATGCGGACAAAGATGCCGACAGGGCAGCTCTTGAGGGGCATCAGCTTGAATTACAGGAGATGGCGCTCCGACAAGACAGGTTGCACGCAGCTTGGAAGGAGCGAGAAGTCGAAGTGCAGAGGCTGCAGAAGGAACGGGACGAAGCGAGAGAGGAAGCTGAAGCCCTCCAGCACGAGCTGGAGTCCTCCCAGCAGCAGGCACGAGACTGGAAAGGGGTTTCTCTTGGCTGTCACTCTGGAACCGCTCAGGCACGTCGTGTTGCGGAAGAGCAGCGCGAGCAGCTAGAAAAGTCGCGGCCTTAGGTGACATGGTGCTGAGCTCCCTTCGAAGTTACATTCAGTTGACAGCTGTTCTGTCATGGGCTGCGTCTCATGCAATTGTCAGATGATTCCAGCCCGCTTGGCTGAGCCAGCTATGTAGTGTTAGCTGATCGGAACATGGTGACGACTCTTTGTTTGACCCCCAAGGTTGGGCCGCCTGGAAGCAGAGAGGTCGAAGCTGCGGCGCCAGGTGAGCACCATTGCAGTGCCATTGCCGGGTCCAGCTGCAGCTTCTTGAAAATAAAGAGACATGTTGGCAAGAATGTGGCTTTGCATGCAAGTGTCAACAACTTCAGTTGTAGGATTGTGATGGATGTTGCACGGTGTGCGCTTACAGAAGTGACACATGACTTGACTTGAGCTCGTGGCCCACCCGCCTAATCCTACCGAAGCGATGCTGCTCCAAACAAGTCTTCGGTTGGCTATTTTTTCGGGGTCTCGAAGGGCTTGCGACCCGCACTTTCCCAGACATCTCATATGAGTTGTGCGGAACCAAGAGCACTGCTTCATGCCTGACCATGGAAGGAAAGGTAAGCCAAATGCACCACCAGAAAGTGGCATCAATTGTGACCGCCCTCTCAGGGTTAAGTTAGGCCCGTTCCCAAACCCAACTAGAGGATTCCGAGGGCAGGGGAGCACCCGCTTCTGTGTAAAGGCATGTAGGACTTGACAGACTCTTTCTTGAAGTTCACTTATATCGTGACAGTAAAACTAGTGATATGATGTCAAGTGTCTCCATGTTTGTAGGTGTGTTGGTGGTGCAGAGCCGGTATGGACACATGTGGACGTACAGTTCTTGATAGTCACTCCTCGAGTGTTCCAGACCTGAGAGGCAGAAGAAGCACGACGGCAAGCCTCAGAGAGATCTGAGGATGTAGATCGGCTGGAAAGGCGCCGGGTCCGGATAAGTTCTACTCGATGCTCGGGCTCGTGCCCGACAATGACACTAAGTCCTTTGCAGCAGGGAGCGTTATCGGAGACAAATTTTGCGTGCTTGCTGCTTATCAAGTTCCACGAACGCAGGCAGCGCACGAGCCACGGCACCACCGTCGCCACTCTAGAGCAACAGGCAGGACAAGCTGGTAAGCTGGATGTTGTGTCCTGTTTGACTCCTAGGGCCCTAACCCAGCGAGCACTTGCAGATCGATGAATTCCGTCGTCAGCTGCGAGACCGGAGCCAGGAGCTGGCAAGGCCGCTTTGGTCGCTTCTCGCAGATTCTACAGTAGCATGCAGCTATGCAGTGCTATGCACAGCGGAGTACAGACACGACCAGACAATTACGAAGTCATGTACTGACATTGAGCAGATGCAAGCCTCACCCGATACAGGATCTCAACAACACAGGTGGGCATATTATGAACAACCCTGTCCGGGCCAGCCTTCGTCGAAAACACCGACGCAACACACGCTGCAGTCCATCAGGCGATTTGTTCAGCACCTGACCGAAGTTACCTCGGAGCCTCCGAGGCTTTGCGAGACCGGAACATTGAGCAATGCTTCGGAGGCGGACAGTCGCACAGAGTGTCACCCTTCACGCAGTCCACAAAAGCTGCCGAACTTGAAGCCGGAAGCGACACCTCTCTCAGCAAACAGCGAGTTCCCATCCAAAGAAGCTTCCGAAGCTTTCAAATTCTGTGACAAGGAGAACTCCGATCTCCCAGCAACCCTGACCTTGTCTGACCATCACATCTCTCTGCCTTCTGCCACCGGACCAATGCATACCGTCGCCAGTCTTGTCTAGGGCTTCAATATGCGCTGGACTTGTCAAGTGGCCAAACATGCATTGGACGGTTTAATGATGCCACATGATGCCACAATTAGAGCACCTCCACTCACGAAAATTCACGACAAACGACTTTGCACCGTTTACGCTGCTGGAAGCAGAGGTCGTCCCCTGTTGCCCCCTTCTTCTGGTATGCGCAGCTTCAGCTTCGCAGCGGATCAGTGAACATCCACGGACGGATCGCAGTCATGAGTACATCCAAAGGAGTACCGAGAAAGAACCAATTAAGAGCTAGTAGTAGTGAATCATGTTCTTGCAGCTCGCAGCGCAATGTTGCTCGTGAGTCACGACGTCTATCGACAGAAGTTGCGTCGCATCCAGGCAGAAGGCCGAGCACCAGAAGGTCCGTCACTCTTTGGCCGTGCGCGAGCTGCACGGATTTAGTCCAGCGACTGAGGCGCAGCAGCAGCTGGATGAAGCTCGAATGGTCGAGGACAACAAGCCGATTTCGCACATCAGTGGGCCCTCGCTCTCTCTCTCTCTCTTTCTCTCTCTCTCTCTCTCTGTATGTATGTATGTATGTATGTATGTATGTGTATGTATGTGTATGTATGTGTATGTATGTGTATGTATGGGTATGTATG